TTTTTTTTTTTTTTTTTTTTGGTTAACTGAACATTGAATAGACTGTCGTGAACGTTAGCAGCTTTCGTAAAAACGCAAAGAAAAATGTAGTAAGTCTTCTAGAATAATATGAAGAAAAAATATATAACTTGGTAAAAACAAACTAATTGAATTCGAGAAAAAAATGTTTGTCAACTTAATTAAACTAAGTTTTTGTTACTGAATAATTAAAACTTCAAACAATTATAAATATAAAAATACAGTTTTATTTGTTCAACTGTATTCAGTTTTGCTCTATTTTTTTACTTGTTTCTTTTTTTTTCTGTTTTTTTTTACATACACAGTTCAGTTTTTTATTTAAAAAAGCTTGACAAAAAAAGACGCTTTTATTTCACCTCAAATGTTTATTGTTCTGTATTAGTTTTTTTTTTTTGCCATATTTATGTATGTGTTAATTTACTGTTTTTATCCTTGTTATTTTAACAAACGCTGTCAATGTGTAAAATGTAAATAAATAAAAGAGAAAAAACATGTGAAACTTCAATAGTCTCTAAGCAGAATACAAAAACAAAAAAAAGAAAAAATTAGCAAAAAAAAAAAGCTTAGTTGTTGAAGATGCTTATTTACTTATTTGTTACTGTTTTTTTCGCATAACTAATTAGACGAATATTTTACACAGCCTTATTCGTAAACTTTGGTATCATCGATATCATTGTCAACAACAAGGGTAGTAACAAAAGTATCGACAGATACCGACTGGAGAATCAACGATGTTTAATTTGAACACCAAACAGTGGTCAACTATTTAAGCAACTAGAACCAAGCATGTAAACCTAAGTTATAGACAACTATTAGCAATACTGTTTTTTTTTATACAACTATTTATTTTTTTAGCTTTGTTTTATTCAATAATTAAATTTCTTTTTTGAATATATAATTCAAAAAAGTACGACAAGAAAGTCTGTTGGCAAAACTTGCTGTAGTAAAATTCAGAAATAGGAAAATTAAGCAGAAGAAACAAGAAATTTGTAGGTAATGATAGAAATTCTTCCTGTTATTACATCTTTTTTTCTTCTTTTTGTTTTTGCTACTCAAAAACAATACTGCTGTATTTTCAAAAATCGCTTTGAGGAGGAAACTAAAAAACGATAAGAAAAGTAGAAAAAAGAATGTGAACAGAGGACAAGGATAGAAGATTAGCTCATCTATGAAAAATATTGACATTTCATTACTGGTGAAAAAAAAAAAACTTACGAAAGAAAACACATTCACATATAAAAAAATATGTTGACTTAAGGTAAAAAAAAAGTAATCTAAGCAAAATTGTGGAAAACCAAATATACCAATAGTATTTTTTATCAATTTTTTATTTTTCTCTGCTTTTTTTTTTCGTCGCTATACAGTTTTTCACATCTTTTTCAGTTTAAATTTTTAGTTGCTTTCTCTTGTCTTCTTTATTTTCCAGTAAACATCTGCGCAAAAACAAAAAAAAAACTTTGTTCTAAAGAAAAAAGAAAAATTTTTAACCTTTTTTTCCTGCTTTTTGTATAACAAAACAACACAATAAACATTTGTTCAATTTTAAATTTATCTATACGTTTCGTCAGTCAGTTTTTTTTGTTTGTAGAGTAGGCAATAAAGTATTTGATGGCAACAAAAATTTGAAGAAGGAACAAGAAAATTGTAGCCAAAAAAAAAGAGTTATTTTTTTCTTGACTTTTTTGAAATTGTAATGTTATGGTGATAGCAGTCAGCTACAAATAAATTCCACTAATCTATGAAGAAAAAAGATTAAAAAAACAGAAAAATTAAAATAAATGATAGAGAAACACCAAAAAACTTTGAATGCATTTTTACTACGTAACTTAGTTTTATCTTTCGCTGTACGAGTGATCGAACTGTAGGCTTCCTTTTTTTTTTTTTTTGTTTTGTACTACGAGCTGTCTGCCGTACATTAGTTGGTGTTCAACTGAGTTTTAGTCAAGTAGGTTTAATAGAAAATATAACAGCAAACTTATTGTGTTTTGCTCTGATAAAACAACAACAACAACAACAACAACGACTAAACTTAACAAGACAAATTACCTAACTATGAGACAAGCCGTGATGTTCGTCAATTGTTGAATTTTTGAAACCTGACATTTTACGTGACATCTGATGCATTTGTTACCGAAGATTGATATTTGGTATGCTAAAAATTAGAAAATTCGCCGTATAACATCGAAGTGCTTGTCTACATCAGCAATTTTGTGGTAAAATTAAAAACAAAAACGAGAAAAACACTACATTTCTTCTGTACCACTTTAAACGTTCAAATAGTTATGACACAGAAAACAGGAGAACATAATTGAAATTACTAAGAAAATCCACTTTTTTTTTTGGTTATAGTGCTTAGTATTAATTTTAACAAATCTGTATTTTATTACCAGTAGTCTATAAAACCATAAAATCTTGATTTTAGTAACATTTATTAATTATGGTGAGATAAAGCAGAGAAAAAAAAACATTAGAGAAATACAGTTTAATACATTGTTCTTCATATCAGTTTGATAAACTTCAGGTTGATTTAACACGCAGTAATTTTTGTTTCAAAAAACAACAACAGCATCAACAGAAAAAAATATAAACAGAAAGATTAAAAATGTTTAATCAAACCAATCAAATAGCCAAAAATTTGATTCTAAACTTACCTTTTCAATTTTTTCATTTTCTCTTCACCTACACATGCACACAGCTTTCGACTGAAAAACCGTTTTTATAACTATCAGACAACAACTTCGACCGCGGTAACAAAACGAAAAAAGTCAGACAAAACGAGAATAAAAAGTTGATAAAATGAGTAAAAAGTAGCAAAAGAAAAAAAGTTTGTTCTAAATAACACTTTATCAAAACAAAAACTAAGTTTACTAAAAAACCAACAAAAAAAAAACAAACGAAATAAAAAAGAGGTGAAAAGAAAACGAGGAAGTTGTTGTGTTAACGAAGTTGAAAAACAAAGGAAAATTGGGTTTTCGTCGCAAGAGCAGCAACAACAGCAGAACGTTACCAAACAGTAAACTAATTTTCTCAACTTGTTAATTCACATTTGGATGTAAAAAAAAAAGTCTTTTCTTAAAGTTTAAACTTTTGCTAACTTTTTTGTTTGCTACTTTTTATTTTACAAGTTTATATTTTGAGAAAAAAAAACTTTTCTTCTTATATTTACTTATTGCTGTTAAAACCAAATTAACTGCTATGCAAGAAAAAAAGAAAAAAAAAGCAGCAGCCAATAATGTTCTAATGATAACTGTTATTATTGTTTTTATTTTTTTTTATTATTATCAATATTATTATTTAAATGAGTGTTGCTGTATGTGTTGAAAGGACAATTTGAAGTCATATGGCATTAAAGCACGACGAACAGCTAAAAAAACAATCACACGGATAGAGCGCAGAATTTTTTGTTTTTGATTTTCTTATTTTTTATCTGTTTTTTTCAAAAAGATACTACTATAATTTTCAGAAACTCTAAATAACAGCAACAGACAACTGCAAAACAAAAATAAGGCTA